TTCAGAAACCGTATCAAATATGAGACATTTGGCATTACAGGGTTAAAAGATAAAAAAACTAAAAATACCACATGAGGAATCAGGTTAAACAGCTTTTCCCCTTTGGGCTTTTCTCTCCCTGTCTTCCAGGGCCGGGCGGAGCCTCTTTGGAGGGTCTGTGTGGCGATTCGGGCCCTGATCTGAGCCAGGACAGAGTTCCTGAGCTCAGTGCTCCAGAGTGAGACCCCACTAACCTCCACAGGAAACAGGAAACGGCTGCCGTTTTCCCCCAAACGTCTGTGGTCTGACCCCCTTCTGCCCCACAGCTGTGAGACCCGATACGAAGAAGAAGAAGAAGAAGCTGGCGGGGACTCGACCAGCTGCAACTCCTCCGCCGAATGGTGAATAAATCAAACATCTCACAAAGATATTAAAGGGTTAAACTCCTGAGACCCGAGCTTTTGACAAGTTTAAGAAACAGACTTTGCCCTGGTTCAGGTAGTTTTCCTTCATAGAGGCTCAGTGGGTTTATCTTTAGATCTAAAATGTCTGTTTAGAGATTTAACTAAATGTTTTTGCTATATGGTTCAGAGGGTCCAAATGACTTACTTACAACATTTTAATTCCACAATAAGAACACGATTGGTGTTAAATGTCTAAAAAAATTTTCCTTTAGAATTCAAACAGTAAGAAAGCTGGAAAAGCTGACATTTCTGAGCTTTTTGAACACAACAATGATTTTAGTTGATTTAAATACCTAAAAAACACCTAAAAAAGCAGATTTTCAAATATGTCCAATGTTAATTTATATTAACATTTATAATATGTTAATTCAAAGACCAAATAAAGCTCATTTTTAATGATTTTCCTTCATCTAAAGCCCTAAAAAGCTGGTTTCTCAGTGGTTTTCTACAGAATTCCCCACTCAGATGTTCCTCCATCTAAATGGATCCCACACAGTATCCTCTCCTTTCTCAGGTCACATGGGGCTGCAGCCCTGCTCCCATTGGCCCGTTTGGATCAAACGTCTAAAAGCGTTTTCCTTTAGATTTAAACAGGAAAAAAGCAGGAAAAGCTGAGATTTCTGAGCCCTTTGAACACAACAATGATTTTCCTTCATCTAAAGACCTAAAAAGCTGATTTTAAATGATTTTCCTTCATCTAAAGACCTAAAAAGCTGGTTTCTCAGCGTTTTCCTTTAGATTTAAACAGTAGTGTCTGATAGCGTCTGCTATGAGGCCCAGAGGTCAAAGGTCACAGAGAAAA